AAGGATGAGACTTAATTGAATGGCGAGTAAAACGAGAGTGAATTTTAGTAGATGGCACAAGGGACGCTAGCTCTTTAGAGCAGTGCCCATTATAGTATTTGTAGAAAAGAGAAAGAGAAGCAACATTACGACGATGTGACAAAGGTTGGAGATTGGCTGCAAGAGCAGGTCCAACTATGTTTACAATTCGTTTTTGCACCTTGTCTAAAAGAGAAAGAGCATCATTAGAAGATCCGCCCCAGATGTGGCAACAGTATTCCATACAGGGACGGATTTGAGATTTATAGAGATAGAGAATAGAATCTGGAGTAAGAAAGTGTCGAGCTCGATAAAGAGATGCAACCTTAGCAGATGCTAATTTTGCAATGGATTTGATATACGGTTTAAAAGAAAGATCAGAAGTAAGAGTTAATCCTAGAAGATGAATGGTAGATGACTCATCTAGTACATTACCATTCATAAATATAGGAAGATCTAAATTATTACGATAACGATTGGCCGAATAAAATTGAGTTTTATCTGAATTAAAGTTCACCAGCCACTGTGAGCCCCATGCTGTAGCAGAAGTGAGATCCTTTTCAAGCTCAGATACCCCCTCCAAGCAATCAGAGAGTGTAGGCTTCTTATCATGACAAGAGTAAATGGTAGTGTCGTCAGCGAATAATGCCACCTTAGATGTAAGAATATCTGGAAGATCGTTAATGTAAATTAAAAAGAGTATAGGGCCAAGGATTGAACCTTGAGGAACCCCTGAAGTTACAGGATGTGAAGAAGAGTGTTGTCCATCGAGGACAACTTTTATACTACGATTGGAAAGAAAGGACTCAATAATCTTAAAGATGTTACCAGCTACACCATAAGAAGAAAGCTTATGGAGAAGACCAGCATGCCAAACTTTATCAAAAGCTTTAGAAATGTCAAGTGCGATAGCCTTAACCTCTCCACCTCTATCTAATGCACGGTAAAACCTATCGGTTATTACTGTTAGCACATCAGCTGTAGAACGAGAAGACCGAAATCCATATTGATGATCAGAAAGTAAGTTATTTGATTCAAGATGAGAGATTAAGTGTTTGTTGATTAAAGATTCAAAAACCTTGCTTATGACAGGAAGAAGACTAATGGGACGGTAGTTAGATGAATCAGATCGCTCTCCGGAATTTTTGAAAATAGGGATAACAGATGCTGCTTTCCAGCATGATGGAAAACAAGACTCTGATAAGCACTTGTTAAATAGTTTAGAAAGTATGGATGAAAGCTCCGGAGAACACCTCTGCAAAACTACAACAGGAATGTTGTCAGGACCACAAGCTGTTGAAGAGTCTAAGCAAGAAATTACTTTAGATACAGAAGCTGAAGTGATGCGAATGTCAAGCAAGGGATCAACCTGTTTGACGGCTATGTCAGGTAAAACGCAACTAGTGGAATCAAGAGATGATATTGATGAAAAGTTCTTAGCAAACAATTCAGCTTTGTCTTTAGGTGAGGTGACAAAGTCTGAACCATACAAGAGAGAAGGAATAACAGATTTGCCCTTATTATTGATACTGTTAAAGATTCTCCAGAAGTCTCGAGAGCCTAATTTTTGTGATGAGATACGAGATTTAATGACCTGGGAATAGCGAGCTTTGGCGTCAGACAAAACCTTTTTACAATGGTTTCTGGCGATAGTGAACAGATGTCTGTTTTCTGGAGAATTGTTTTGCTGATAGATATGGAAGTAACGGTTTCGATTAGAAATTGCTGCAGCGCAATGTGAGGAAAACCAAGGAGAAGAGTGAGGCTTGACCTGGAATCGTCGAGAGGGAATAAAAGATTCCATGCCAGCCTTAATCCACGAAGTTATGTAAGAAGCACATTTGTCAGCAGGAAGACGAAAGATTTCTACCCAAGGGCCATCACGAAGAAAATCACGGAAAGAGTCCCAGTCAGCTTTAAGGTAGTTGTATGTGGTACGGTGATAGGGGGATTCTGATGAAGTAGAAGAATTTGATAATAGTTTTAGAGAGATCAAACCGTGATCAGAAGTACCTAAGGGTGAATGTGGAGAAATTGAGCACTGACTAGGATCCAAAACAAGACATAAGTCGAGTAGAGAAGGTAAATGATTAGGGTTGTCTGGAAAACGAGTTGGAAAGTTGACTATTTGAGTTAGAGATTGAGAAAGGCAAAAGTTGAGGGCCTTAACGCCAGCAGAGTCACTGACACTAGAGCCAAGCCAATCGGTGTGATGGGCATTAAAGTCACCAACAACGACGATATTGGCCGATGGATAAAGAGAGAGGGCTTGGTCAATTTGATCAGAAATAACATCAAGAATAGTGCAGTCTTGGGATGAAGGAGAGCGATATAGAACAAAGAGAAAGGCGATAGAGTGAAGTTGTGCTAAACGAAAGCACATAAATGAATAGTCTGTAGATTCAAACCTAGTTTCACGGCAAATGGGTGAGTTCTTACGAACGTAGATGCCCAGGCCAAGCATGTGATTATTGGAGTCTTTACGAATTAAAGGAAGATAACCATCAACACTAAGATCACAAGATGGGACAGCCGAACTTAAATTAGTCTCACAAAGAGCAAGTAGGTCTGGTGAACTTTGCAAGAGATAAGACTCAACAGAAGAAAAGTTACTTCGAAGACCACGAATATTAGTAAATGATAGGTTTAGAGAACTTGGTGGTGACAATGGTTTTTTGTGTTTTTTAATTTTAGGTACTTTAGTCATTTTAAATTTATAAAGAACTTGACTCAAGTATAGATAGTACTCAGTACACTATTTAACAACTAAGCAATAGCCTCATTACTATTAATAAACCCTAAGCCGTAACAAAGGGCTCCAAATGTGGCCTCTGCAATGCACACCAAAAGTACAAACAGGGACACCATCCATGCGCAACATGGCACTGTTAGTACATTATTATAAATGACAATGGGATAAAATTATAAATGACAATGGGATATCATTTATATTTAGTTCATCTCCTTAAAACACCTCTAAAATAAACAAATTGATGACATAAAAACTTTGCAGTAGAATCATTTTTGCAGTAAAATCAGTTTTTTCAAATACTTTCTACAACACAAATAAAATATGATGCTAGCAATGTGACTAACATTGTAACAAAAATCTGTACAAAGTTTGCAGGGTTCGTACTGTACCTGGAAAACCTGGAAAACCTGGAAAATCAGCCAAATTTGGATAAAGTCATGGAAAACTTGGAAAAGTCAGGGAAATTTTTTTTTTTCTAGGTAGTCAGGGAAAAGTCAGGGAATTCTGATTGAGAAACTACTTGTTTTACAAATAAGCTATTATGTTTCTGTTGGTGCTTCCCATTTATTTTGACAATTAAAAAATACCCTATAGTGTTTCACACCTTTACCACACATATAATATTTTATTTTTAAAAATTTGACCACAGCTTTTTAACTTTTTTAAAACTTGAATATTTTTAAATGTATTTTAATAGGCAAAACGCTCTTATTACTAACAATTGTTTTAAAATATTAATCAATAAAAATATTTTATCTAAATTGTCTATGGTTATTATTTTATTTTTACAATAATAGTGTATGTTTCTTTTTTTTATTTATTATAAAAAAAATAATTCCTTTTTTTTATTTATTATAATAAAAAATAATTTTTTATGATCAATTTCAATCGTTTAAAACTATTTCTGTAGTTTATTCTATAAACAACAGCATCTTTAACTTTAAACATTTTTGTGTCTTTAAAGCGAAAAACTTCTTTTTTTATTTTAAGTTACATAAGTTACAGAAAGTTTCAAAGATTTTCAACTTTGTTGAAAACTTTTGAAAGTTTTTATTAAAAAAGTAATGGTTTCTATAAGCATTACAATGACTATTAGATTAAAATCCTTGTGAAAATGAATTTTGAAAATTAAAAAAAGGTTTTTAAAGTTAATACAATGAAATTTGTTACAGTGCCCTATGTTATAAATATAAATCATTTTGAAATATTTTGTTTCCATTTTTAGAATAAAAATAATGAATAAAATAGAAAAAAAAAGCTTATTTTAAAGAAGAATGGTTAAATAAAGACATTTACCCTCATTTTGACTCTTGGCTAATGAAAGGAAAAAATAACACCCAGGCAAGATGCAAATTATGCAATAAAATAATTGAACTTTCAAACATGGGTATTCAAGCAATAAAAAGTCACGAGAAAGGAAAAAAACATGTTTCAGTTGCAAGCAATTTCTCTTGTTTTTTTAAATCATCTGGCTCTAAAAATACTAATTCACCTAATTCAGTAGAAGAGTCTAATTTAAAGACAGCTGATAGTTTCTCAACAGGATAAATGAAGATACGATGAAAACTCATCGTATCAAATTCTAATAAAATCTGTGCAGAAATTATGTGGGCATTGCATTGTTGCTTAAATAGAATTTCTAACAATTCAAACAAAAGCGTGACAAATTTGTTTCAAGCAATGTTTCCTGACTGTGAGATTGCTAAATCTTTACAAATGGGACCAAATAAAGTCGGATATAGCATCACTCATAGTCTTGGGCCTTATTTTAAAGGTTTACTTAAACAACAAATGAGCCTGTCTCCTTGGCTTGTCGTATCCTTTGATGAATCCCTCAACAAAAAAACTCAAACTTGTCAAATGGATTTACTCATCCAGTATTGGAATGAGGAAAAAATGCAAGTTGAAGTGAGGTATTGGGATTCCTCATTTATAGGACATAGTTCTAGTCTTGATTTGGTAAATCATTTTAATGAAAAGATAAGTGATATTAATATCAGCAAAATTCAGTTCAGGTCTCTATGGATGGACCCAGTGTCAACTTGAAATTCCACAGAGACATTCAAAGCAAACGTGAAGAGCACGAATTATCTAAACTTATTGACATTGGCTGCTGTTCCCTACACATAGTTCATGGTGCTTTCAAAACAGGAGTAGAATCAACTGATTGGGAACTTAAAAAGACATTTAAAAGCTGCTTTACCTTATTTCATGATTTCAAGACAAAAGGTAGCGGATAGATTAATTAGTATTTGGCCATCTATTATAAAAATTGTTAATTATTGGGAGTCTCTGCCTAAAAGTAAACGACCATCTTGCAAATCATATAAGTTTGTTGTAAATGCTGTTAAAAAAGAACTTTCTCTTGTAAAATTCCAGTTTTTTAGCTACCTGGCGAGCATGTTTGAACCGTTTCTGAAGCTCTATCAGACAAATGCTCCAATGTTGCCTCACATGAATGGTGATCTTGTGCAGTTGATTAAGAGTATTCTTAGGATGTTTATTAAATCTGAAACTATTGAGGCTACCTCAAAACTTACCAAAATTGATCTGCAAAATAAAGAGAACCATTTGAAACCCAGTGAAATTGATATTGGGTTTGCTGCTGAATTATCACTGTCAAAGCTCAGAAAAAATGATGCAGTTATTTTGAAGGATATGAAAGAATTTAAAATTCAATGCATGCACATTTTAATTTCAGCTGCTGAAAAGTTATTTAAAAGATGTCCCCTTGATTTTGTGATTGTTAACACGAGTACTTGTTTGCTTCCAAATTTTTATGCTCAGATCACACCTGAAAAAAATAGGAATCAAATGAAAATATTGCTGCATCATCTTATTTCACTTGGAATATTAACTGCTTCTTATTCTGACAAAGTTATCAGCCAGTTCTCAAAGTTTATTTCATTAGAATTTGCTCTGAATCAGGATGTTTTCATTAGTTATGATCAAAATAATAAACGTCTTGATGATTTTTACTTCAAAAACATTGACATAAAAAAGTATCCAGAGTTGTCATCTGTCATTAAGTTGGTTTTGACTCTGAGTCATGGACAGGCATCAGTTGAACGGGGGTTTAGTGTCAATAAGGATGTGGTTAACGATAATATATCAACAGATGGTATTGTTGGACGGCGTCTTGTGCGTGATTTCATGCTTACCAACAACCTCAACCCCCACTCTGTCCAGATTACATCAGAAATGAAAGTTGCCTTTAAATCTGCTCATCAAAAATACCAAATCATGCTTGAGGAAGAGAAGTCAAAGAATAAAAAACATGCTATGTTAGATCAGAAAGCCATTATTTTGTCTGAAATTGAAGAGCTAAAATCTAAAATGGGTTTCCTTACAAAAACTTCATTGATGCTAGAAAAAGAGTTTGTCTTAACTGTGGAACAAGCGGAGAAAGAAAACAATTTATCATTGGTCAGCAAAGCGAATGCTTTAAAAAGGAAAAGTGAGGAGAAAATGAAAGACGTAGCTAAGTTGCAGGAAACATTGATATTAGAAGAGAAGAGAAAGAAACTGAATTAACAATAGTTGCTTTTTGACAATTTGTTTGTTTATATAAAATATTGTTTATGTTGACATTTATGCAAATATGGCTAATTAAAAAACTTTAATTATATTTTCAATATAAGATTTTGCTTAAAAAATATATGCAATTTAAAATTAATTAAAAGTTTTTTTTTTAATGTTTCTAAGCATGTTTTGTTATACTGTGCTATTTTTTATCTAAAGGTATTATTGAATAAGCGAAGGTACAGCTACAAATAGTGATGAAAAACAACTAACCCAAAGTAGTCTCTGTTATAGATCAAATATTGCTCAAAATGTTGAAAGATATCTACATAGACATTTTAGTTTATTTTTGTGTTAGTGAAAAATAATTATATATAAAATATTTTATGTGCATAATATTTAGATTTTCTTGAAGATCATCTGAAACTAAAATTTATGTGCATAATATTTAGATTTTTTAAGAAGCTCACCTGTTGTTTATTCTTAGTCATCCTTAATAATATGCATAATAAAATCTATACTAACATCCAACTTAACTAATAGCTAAGTTTTATAAGTTTTGTCATTCTAAGCATGTACATTTTAGCATTTTCATTACAGTAGTAATTTTTAACATTTTATAAAAACCATTGCAAATGTTAAAAATGGTCAGGGAAAATTCATCTGATTTTTTAAAAAAGTCAGGGAAAAGTCAGGGAAAAGTCAGGGAAATTTTTATAAATATGTGGCTACGAACCCTGAGTTTGAGTAAATATTAAAATATGAAGGAATAATTTAATATACTTGCAATCACTTCTATTTTGTTAAGAATTTAATTCTTTAAATGTATTATTAAAAAAAAATTATTTAGTCATAATTAAAAATGAAAAAAAAAGACTTGTAACAAAGACTCTTTTAGAAAACGAGTGTACGCATTTTTGGATTTGATAAGAATAAAAGCTTTATTGTAAATCATTTTAATGGAGAACATACCAAAATCTGCTATTTATAATATATTTCAAAAAAAGGTAAATAATATAGGACCAGAAAGAAAAGGTGGAAGTGGTGGCAAAGCAAAAAAGATGTCTGCAAAAGAGATTAAGCGTCTTAAAAAATTGGTTGATCAAAAAGATGGTATTTTACAGTGTGGTCTTGCAAAACGATTCCATGTATCACAAACATACATATGCAAAATTATTCACAAAAAAACTAGCATTCGTTATCTTTAAAAAACTAAAACACCTAAAAAAACCTAAAAGACTCAAAAAGCAGCTGTTTGTTGAAAGTGCCATAGATTGGTTTTGATTTTTAGGAAAAAAGTAATTATTGATGATGAATTATATTTTTATTTGAGCAACACCAATATTAGATATCACAATCACCAATAGATTCTATTTTTCTGACTTAAATACAGCATTAAAGGATGTAAAGTTAAAAAGAAAAGACAAATTTGAGCCAAAATTACTTAATTGGATTGCATTCTCGACAAAAGAAATCCCTCAGCAGTAATTGCTTTGTCGGGCCAAACAGTCAATGAAGATGTGTATATTTCAAAATGTCTTGTTCGTTAAGAGAAATTTATTGAAAAACATCATAAAAATGACAGTATTGTCTTTAGGCCTGATCAAGCTTTGTCTCATTATTTGCGTGAAGTGCAAGGTTATCTAAAAGCTAAAAATATTGAATTTGTACCGAAAGAGATAACCCTGCTAATGTGGCAGAATTATGTCCAATTGAAGATTTTTGGCTGAACTTAAGAGATTAGTGTATAATAAAAATTGGCAAGCTGAAAATCTAGGTAAACATAAACTTAGTAAATTTAAAAAGCGGATTGAGTTTTCAATTAAGAAAATCAACATAGAATGTGTACATCAGCTAGCTGCTGCAACATTTACAAGAGTAGACAATGTTTGTTGTCATGACATGAAAAACTTATAATTTTTTAAATTTTATTATTTAGATATTTTTTGTTATTATACTTTTTAAATTATTAAAATTGATCATACCGTTAAAAAGTTATACAATATCTAATTTTGTCTAGATTTTTAGTTATCACATGTTACGACAGCCACAAGTTCTTAATCCAGAAAAAAACCCACATGCCCAAGACAATACTGGTTCTGTACTATTGATGTTTGGCAAATATTTGATAAATACCTATACTTAGTTTTAGTCTTTTGTTTAAATGTCTGAATTTCAGAAGAAATCAATTTATATTTTTGAGTGGGTTGAATTTTTTTATCAATCAACATAATATATTTTTTCATTTTTATTTAAATGTTCTGCTAGATAACTGTAACTTTGCTTTATCTAGTAATTATCAAATTATATGTATTTTCACATATTCTCTATAGAAAACGTTGAGAAATTGTTTATATCTAATGCGTTAATTGGTTCAATTTTTTTTTTACTTTTGCTCTTTTTATTTAATGTATGATTTCAATTCATTTTTTAATTTAATTTTTTTTTTTCATTAGAATTATCTTATATGCAATATCTTTATCATCTTCTTTATAGGATATATATTTTAAATAAAAACAGTTAGTTCAAGAAGCAGCTATTCTAACATCAGTCATTATACGAGGAAGCGTTGTATTTCTTAGTTTTCCAAAGAATCAAGAGATTGTTTAAATGTGCCATTAACAGTCTCAACAACCCATCTGCATTTTGTAAAAAACCTAGTATAGTTAGCTTATAAACTAGTAAATTGATTTACCAATGATATTTCTAAAATCTGTATCTGTATTATATATAGGATATTTCTAAAACCTCTTTATTTTTAAAATATCACTTAATATAGTTGTGTCATTAATAGCAAATGGCCGTTAAACATCAATAATAAAATCATTTGCAGTGCATACTATAAAAAGGCTTAACTAAATGCCTTTTTTTTCCCCATTGCACAGGTTTTGTTGTAAAGAATTGTTTGAACTTTTTTCACAGAATAAATAAGTACCATTGCTACAAATCTTTGATCATATCTGTGTTATTTTACTGCCAATATGCAGCCGTGGCGCAATGGTTACAGCGCTTGCTTTATAAACAGGAGATCCAGGTTCGAAACGAGCTCTCTACATATTTTTGCATCACGGTAAGGAGGGAGACGTGAACTTCCTGGTTAAATGCACATCTGTGGTGCTCTGTGACAAGACTGTTAGGTCTTCTTGGGGCACCTAAATAATAAAAAAAATTAAAAAAAAAAAATATCTTTTGTGATTTTGCTCCTAAATCAAAAAAATAAATAAATAAAATTCAGCATTAAGCAAGGCTCTAATCTGATGGTAATATTTCTGAACTTTTAATCAACATGACAAACCAAAATAACAAGCAATCGAACTTTGATCAAGACCATTTTTTAATCAAAAGAGATAAACTGCAAGAGCTTATTCTTTAAAACGTTTGAAAGTTTTTTGTTGTTTTAAATTCACTTACCAAATATAGAAATTCATCTTTGGTAAAATCTTTATTTTTAAAACAAACCTCAGTTGTTATGTTATTTTCCATATAAAGATGCACTAAAGTTTGAGAACACAGATGCTATTTTTAAATCTTAGTCCAAACACTTTTAAATAAATCTTGTATCATTGTTTTATTAATGTTAACAGTTTTTTACAATTGATAAATCTAAATATTCATCTTTAAGCCACTTACTATCTGTCAAACGAAACTGACAACACAGACTATCAATTAGTATAAATATGCTTGTTTTAGGGAATCATCATTATCTCTTCATATTTTGCTTTTCTAAACAGAGTCAAATTAGATTCACGTTTACAAATAAAACAGATGCGATGTGAGTTTGCGATTCTATCAATTTTTATATTGATTGTATTTTCTTTAATAGATTGATCGCAATAATCACTGTCATCATGATCATCATGATCATCATCATCATCATCATCATCATCATCATCATCATTATCATCATCGTCATCATCATCATCATCATCATTATCATCATCATCGTCACCATCATCATCATCATCATCATCATCATCATCATCATCATCATCATCATCATCATCATCATCATCATCATCATCATCATCAAGGTAATCGTATTCTTCAGAATCATTATCAGTACTCCTAGAATTAAAATCTTCATAATTTTTAAGAACAATCTTCAACAAGTGTATTGTTAGAAATAGCATTTTTATTTCTATGATCAAGAAAATGAACGGCTTTATTTAAAGATTTTAAATTCTTGTAACAAATGATCTGATCCTGTACAAGATTTAATTGCGTCTAAAATGATCAACAACTTTATTTATCATATTTTCATTTATAATTTCAACAACATTTTTGAACCTATATAAAATATTTATGTAAGTTGTGTAATTATATAAATTTATGTACTCTTTCAAAACTTGATAACTTTATTTTCAAAAATTTGTTATTTTATTTAGATTTTTTTAAACATGATTATTATATTGTTATCAAGTTTTAAAATCTTATTTTTATTATTTAAAACTGATTATTAACATTTTTACTGCTTTCTACTTAAGAAAAATTGTTTTAAAATAAATTAGCAAACTTTTGAAATTCATTAAAAATAAGCTGAGCTTAGTTTATTGATGTTAAATCCTTGTGCTACAAAATCTCATAAAAAAGTATATTTATTTATTTCAATAAAACTTTTTTTTTTAATACATAGATTTTTTTTTTTAATACATAGATAGACTTTTTCTCATAAAAGTATATTTATTTATTCCAATAAAATTATTGTTTTATTTAGTTGTTATAATTTATAAATGATTGTTTACAAATAAAATTTGAAATTCTTAAGTCAAATAGAATAAAAGATGAGTATGATAAAATTTTAAAATTTTAATTATTATTTCGATTAGTATTCTTTTGAATTGTGATTGATGTTTTATATAGGGTATTATGTTGTTACAAACCAATAAGATTTGTTATAAAATAATTGTAAAACATTTCAATATAGTTTGTTCAATATAATTTGACCAAGTTTTAATATTGTGTTTTGAAAAGGTTTTTGAAACTACGAAATTTAAAATTGTTACTTTTTTTTTTTATTTAGGTTTAAAGCTCAGTATTGTTTTTGATTGTTGCTTTGGTGATTTATACACTAATTACCCAATAATTTCTGGGTCTGCTTTTGACCGCAGGAAGTTTTATTGCATTAAAAATCTTAACTCCGTTGAAGACCAAGATTACCTAGGTAGTTTATATTTAACTGTTCCTGGTGTTTTTAACTTATATGTTGAAGACAAATTTGGTGCTCGTTGTTATCAATGCACCATTATTGTTGATCCAGTGTTAAGAGCAATAACAGGGGAGTTAAATTTAGATGGAATAGTCCTTCAAACAGTTCTTACAAAATGTTTGGGAATTTTCCCCGAATGGAAAAACAGATTAGAAGTTTCTTTTAAAGCTGGATATAACATGCTTCATTTTTCACCTGTACAAGAATTGGGAAAATCAAAATCATCTTATTCTATAAAAAATCATCACAAATTTAATTCTGAAATTTTTGCAGATGATTCAAGTTCAGAAAAAGATCTTAATTCTTTAATTAAAAGCATTCACCAAGAATGGCAGATGTTCTCTATTATAGATGTTGTTTGGAACCATGTTTCTAATGACAGTGAATGGATTTTACAACATCCAGAAGCTTCATATAACTTAAAGAACTCACCACATCTGAGACCAGCATTTCTTTTAGACAGAGCTTTATGGTATTTAAACAAAAAAATTAGCAATGGTCACCTAGAGAATATGGGTATAAGTAAAAATCTCAGAAGTGAAGAAGATTTTTCAAGATTTTCAATTTATTTGAGGTATAAGAAATTTTAATTTGTTAACAAAAAATTTTTCAGGATATATATATATATATATATATATATATATATATATATATATATATATATATATATATATATATATATATATATATATATGTATATATATATATATATATATATATATATATATATATATATGTATATATATATATATATATATATATATATATATATATATATATATATATATATATATATATATATATATATATATGTATATATATATAAAATTGTATTTATTTTTTGAAAGTTTTCTTTTCATAGTAAAAAAGACTAAAAATATATATATTTTTTTAACTGAGTTTTTCTAATATCTTTTAAAATAATGGTTTGACTCTGATTTAGGTCTAAGTATTTGTTTACCAGTACTGATTCTATGAAAAAATTTACACGATTTAAAGTTGTATGGTTTTATATTTTCAAAATTTTAATAATTAGTGAATTCATCTGTATTAGCCTTTTCCCATTTATGGGTATCGGCATAGGCCACAATGTGCTATTGGTACATCACACACACACACACACACACACACACACACACACACACACACACACACACACACACACACACACACACACACACACACACACACAGATATATATATATTTATATATATATATATATATTTATATATATATATATATATATATATATATATATATATATATATATATATATATATATATATATATATATATATATATATATATATATATATCAAGCCTTCCTGGGAAAGCCATGCTTAAAGTAATTTTTTTAGACAACTTGACCACATTTTTATAAATAAATCAGCAATACTCGAAGAAAAGAACCGACTATACAAAATAGAAAATCTTAATAAAATAAGTTTAAAAAAATTTATTAATAAGAAAAAGAAAACTGTTTTAAAAAAAATACTATACCTAAATATTTACTGTTTTTTTCTTAATTTTAGAGCGTTTGTTATTTTTATAATTGATACAAGTCGAGGAAAAAAGTAGATAAGAATATATCGAAAGCAAAAATAATTTTTGCTATGCAATTTTTTTGCAACTTTTTTTATTCAGTATATTAAGGAAATACTTTAAAAATTGCGCTAGAAACAGGGACAATTTTTAAATTTGTTTTTCAAGTGTTTTTGCTAGACTTTACTGTTTTAATTAATGCACAGGAAAGTGAGAAAACTAATTGCTATTTATTTGTAAAAAAAAAAAAAATTTTAAACAAGTTTTTTATGTAAAAAAAATGAAACGATACTGCAAAATTTTGTGGGCTAGTGCATTGTTGATTTACTGAACTTTCTTAACGAACTTTTTAGGAGCCTATTTAAAACTTTTTAAGTTTTTAAATACATTTTTTAAATAAAGCAATTGTTATGTTCATTATCACTAGTAACTCGTAATTTGTATTAACATTGAAAATTGTACAATATAATAGAAACAACTTCATACATCCATCAAATGCGGTAAATATATTTATTAAAAAAACTATGTTGTTCTTTTATTTAACTTATTCGGTCATTACCAAAATTTATTAATCAAATAATATTTTTTACAAATAAGTAACAATCTATTTTCTTATTTTGCTATTATATAAGTATTGAGAAAAAACGTCAAATATAGCAAAAACTTTTTTAAAAGCGAAATGGCGTAAAAATGAATTAACAAAATAAACAAATAAACGTAAGAAAAAAAATTAACAAAATTTCTTATAGTTCTAGCGTACATAGCAAATTAGTTTCTTAATTATATAGACTGATAAAAATCGTAAATAAATTGCATATCAAAACATTTCAATCTTTTTTTCAGCAACTCTTAAAAAAAGAATACAAAAGTTGTATAAAAATTTTATAAAAATTTTTTGTTTCCTTATTTCAGATTTTTTTTTTTCTTAAGTAAATAAGTTTAGCTTTTTGCAGCGAATTATTGAAATGCTTTATAAATTAAAAGATGCCAACTGCCGTGGTCGGTGTGTCTGAAGAAATTGCTTTTGGCGTCGATGTACAAGGCGTGTGACTACACGCCTTTCCCGGGAAGGCTTGATATATATACATTTGTATGTATTATATATCAGCCCTTGGAATTAGGAAAAAGAGGTCTTAAATAAATTGTCGATCTCAAATTCTTAGAGGTAGGCATCAAGTTGGTGAAAAAATTTGACACAAAGGGGTTACCATAAAATATAGTATCAAAGTCGACGATTTTTTGCTGACCTCAGACACTTTTAGGTTGGTCAGTTAAGTCAATAGTGTCGAATGTCAACCCTAATTCTGAGCGCTGATATATTTATATATATATATATATATATATATATATATATATATATATATATATATATATATATATATATATATATATATATATGTATATATATATATATATATATATATATATATATATATATTTATAATACTATTTGTTACAAGAATGATACCTTATAAAAATAGATTGGTATTAGAAAGTGTTTGAACTCAATCATAAAATATCTTTGAATTAATACAAGAATTTTATTGATAATAAAGTTATCAATAAGTCTTGTTGTGAAGAGTTTTATAGTTTAATGACTAATAGCATATTGACATTTTTTTTTTGTTGTCAAATATTTTCAAACATAAATATAGTGGATAACATACTCTATATATATATATATATATATATATATATATATATATATATATATATATATATATATATATATATATATATATATATATATATATATATATATATATATATATATATATATATATATATATATATATATATATATATATATATATATATATATATATATATATATATATATATATATATATATATGTATATATATATATATATATATATATATATATATATATATATATATATTTATAATACTATTTGCTACAAGAATGATACCTTATAAAAATAGATTGGTATTAGAAAGTGTTTGAACTCAATCATAAAATATCTTTGAATTAATACAAGAATTTTATTGATAATAAAGTTATCAATAAGTCTTGTTGTGAAGAGTTTTATAGTTTAATGACTAATAGCATATTGACATTTTTTTTTTGTTGTCAAATATTTTCAAACATAAAATATAGTGGATAACATACTCTTATAAAGAAATATACTCTTATAAAGAATATTTATAAAAATTTTTCACTTAAATTTAAAGTGAGGACAATATTATGTCACTTACACATTAGACAACTAGCATCTTCAAATAAGCAAGTACTTCATAACACAGAATAAACTAAATCTAAAAGTGAGGTAAATATTATGCAAAATTCTTATACCATTCAATAAGAATAATAAATGGCTTAATTAGGCTACATAATGTGTAGTTATCTAAAAATTCAATTAGCATAATGCTTTTAAATGGTACATCAAATAAGTCAAGGAAGCCAACTATCTAAAATCTATAGATGAAAAAAGACTTGGTGAAGATCAAGCTCAGAAACTGTTAAACAAGTAATTGAAATAAAAAATAGTTCAGTAATGTAAGTAAAAATATAAAAAATATTGCATATAGAATATAAAAAATTTAAGATAAAAGTTTCACTTACCAGAATTTTAATCTAGTTGTATATTTTTGAGAGCAATTAAAAATAACAAGCTATAATTATTAGCTGTTTTTAGAGATGTTATTTCTGGGTTAAATCTTTGGCAGTATTTCATTTTTAATTTTGAAGAAACTGTTAAAGAATTTGAAATATTATGCAATAATTCAACTTGGCCTTTTGAGGTAATTTTAGTGTTTTTAGTATTATATAATTTGTAATTAAATATTACCTTATAAAAAATAGATACAGGTTTGTTTTTTTAAAACTTACTATAGGAAAGTTCTTGTCTTTCTGAATTGGTTATAATTCAAGATCCTCAATACAAATTGTATGGTTGTTTTGTTGATTTAGAAGTTGCAAAGTCCAAATGTTTTGAATATTGGTAACATTTAAAAAAATATTTCTTTTACTTATATTTATACAAATTCTGATTTCTTGCATTTTAACTTACCCTAACAATTTAAAGAAAGTTTTGTTTTAGTGGTAACAAGGAAAGTCATTTGGAGACTGTTTCCCAATATGTGAACTATTTCAAAGAGCTTTTATCTTGTTTGATTGATGAAAAATTGCAACAGTTTTATGGTATGGAAGAAAGAATTGTAAATAACATATTAGGTTATGTAAAATACCATTTTATCGATTCTAGTGGACCAAGGTATAATCATGTGACTGAAGAACATTCTATTTCTATCAAGTAAGTCTTTTTAATTTTTCTACAAGTAGTTTATTTTATCTTTTTTTTAGTCAAAAATATAATTTGTTAGCATTTACAATGATTCTAACATAAGTAAAACTTGCTAGCTTACTCAATGATTGTAACACATAGGTAAAGTTTCTCAGTGTTTCCTAATCTCTTTCTCAGCGTAGTGGCGTTTCTGAGCATAGTGGTTTCATTCATCAAGACTCGTATTTTGGACTTATAAGGTTGGGAGAGGGTTGTAACAATTATTTAAAAAAATGAGTATGAGTTCTCAATTTGGCCCTTGCGGTCTTAAATACAGCCGGAGTTAAATACTGTAAAAATGTCACTTAAAATAAAAAAATGACAAAAGGATTTTAAAATATTGTCAAATCACAAAAATAGATGTGGAACCCTGAAATTATTTTGCATTTAGCCTAGAGAAAATATGTTGTAAAAAATGGCGTTTAACTGATATATTCTTTAAGAAATAACATTATTTATATTATTATTGCCAAAGTTAACAGACAAACTTGTTGTAACAAGAGTTTTTTAATCTTCACAAATTTTTTTTTTCTGGTCATTATTTCTATTATTTTACCTCTCTAAAGTCCAAGGAGAAACGGCTTGAGCGTAGTACTTCTAGAGGCTTGGAGTGTAATACTTCCAGAGAAGTTGAATGTATTTGGATGTTGGAGTATATCCAGAGGCATTGGATGGATTTGAACCCCAAACATCTTGATTGTGAGTCTCAAGGTAAAATAAATTGTTTTTTCATGGGAAAAGTATCTTTAACTTCACCAATAAAAATATCACAATTTAAACAAATATTTTTTCTAAGTAAACCTATTATTTGTGTAATTTGTTTAATAAATAATAATAGATTATTTGTAACAAACATTTTACTTTACATTGAATCATTTGCACATTGGCCAATTTGATTTTTAACCCCTTTTATCATAAATTTTAAATTTATTTAAATTAAATTTATCCAAAGTAATTTTGTATTTTTAGATACTATACTAAATAAATATTTTTGATAAATAAAATTTTTAGTTTTAAACTAGTTGATAAATAATTAGGTGAAATACCCATTGAAAAGTCAATAGTTTGTTCTATTTTTAAATTTAAAAATGCTTTTCAGACACCATTTAGTCAATATTTCTAAAATATTTTGAAAAGTTTAAAATCCAATATCTAGCAAACCAATATATATATTTTAAATATTTTCTGGAATCTAAGTATGATTAGTAACATATTAAAAATTTATTTATTTTAGAGGAGATCATTATTAAAAATTTCTATTTTTGCCTGATTCTTACTGGAAGTCGTTTTGAATATATTTTTTTAAATTTACTTCTCCAAAGCCATTTATGGCTACTACAGTCAAGGAGGTTACAAGGAGTTGTAGTTATAACCCTCTTTCAACTCTATAACTCGGAAAAACAAACCTTGGCAAAACAAGGCCACTTTATGGAGAAATAAGTTGAGGGCAGTACTAACAGGGGTGTGATAGGAATCAAACTTTGAACTTCTAGCTATTAAGGAGAATGCTCTATCACTACATTGTTACCACATTTAATGTATAAAATAAGGAACAGAATGTATAAATAAATAAGATTAGGTGTAATTAATCACCCAGGTGATGAATGAAACTAGGTAAAAATAAGTTCACGAGCATTTAAAAGTTTTACTTTAACTGGATGTTACATTTTGTGTTTAGGTACTTTGCGTATCCGTTCCATGACTCATCATATGAAGAAGATGTTTTGCTTATGGAAGGTGAAGAAGCTATGCTTATAATGGCTCATAATGGATGGGTGATGGGTGGCGATGCACTAAAAAACTTCGCTGAACCTCATTCAAATGTTTATTTAGTAAGAGAGTTGTTGGCTTGGGGTGATAGTATTAAACTACGCTATGGTGAAACACCTTTTGACTCTCCTTATCTTTGGACATATATGAAAGAGTATACTGAGCAAATGGCAAGGTATAACTTATTTGTTTCATTTTATCTTACAAAGGCTTTTTAAAAGCTTATTTTTATTATCTGTTATACAAACCATTTACAATTTTAGAATTAAAAACAACTTTTTTCCTACCTTTGCTTTTTACAATTGTTAAATCAAGTGTTTTATAAAACTCCAGAGATTAAGGCTTTTTTCGACAGAACCCAATACTTATACAGTTCAATAAAAAGTTTTTATCAATAAAAATTGCTGTAACAGTTTGTTTCCAATTAAAGTTTTTGTTTAAACACTCTTAATCTGGTCTCAAAATGGGTTTTGTGAAATCAAACACAAGTATTTTTATGCAAAAAAATTTGTTAAGGTCTTTACTATAAATATATTAATAAATATAATAGTTATTATTATAAAATTATTAGATAAACATCTTAATTATTGTATATTTAATTATGTTATTAAGTAAAAATTAATTATTTAATTATATTTGTATTTAGTTTAGTATTTAACTATGTAATGGTAATAATGTAAAAAACTGTAAAATTTATTTATAATAAAATTTATTATAAAATTTATAATTATTTTGCTTTGCTATTAATAAACTTTTAATTATTTTTTACTTCTAATTTTCGAGAAAATGAAAAAAAAAACTTGCTAATGAAATTTGTGATTTTTGCTATTAACAAACTTTTAATTATATAAACTATATTTATTGTTGTCAAAAACTTGCTAATGAAGTTTGTGATTTTTTAAATTTAAGGATTTTTCATGGATTTCGAATTGATAATTGTCACAGCACTCCTATCCATGTTGCAGAGGTTAGTTATGATAATTTATGACTAATTATATTTTAAGTTTATTATATTAGTTTTAAAATAAGGTATGAAATTGGTTTTACATTTTATCTATAAAATTTTAGTACCTTCTGGATTGTGCTCGTCTTGTCAGAGAAGATTTATATGTTGTTGCTGAGCTTTTTACAAATAATGAAGAAACTGATAATGTATTTATTAACCGCCTTGGTTTGAACTCGCTTATTAGGGGTTTGTAATTTTTATTGTCATTATTTTTTAGTAAGGATTTTATTTTAAATGTTGTTAATTATAGTTATTTATAATATATAATAGTTATTGTAATTATTTAAATATTAGTTCATTCTAAATAGAAAGTTTTTTTTTTAGAAAGTTTAAATGCAGCTACTTCTCATGAGCTTGGTAGATTGGTTTATCATTATGGAGGAGATCCGGTTGGTTCATTTATTCATTGGTCATCTAGTGAACTTCACCCATATCGTCCTCATGCACTATTTATGGATGTTACACATGATAATCCATCTTATCTGGAGGTATTGAAATTTATTTCTATGTAATTTTATTTTGAAATCTTAAAATTTATATTTTTTCAGAAGATAATTGTTTACAAAAATTTAAATAAAACACATTTATGTCATGTCTTGTTAGTGTCTTGTCACTTATATATATATATATATATATATATATATATATATATATATATATATATATATATATATATATATATATATATATATATATATATATATATATATATATATATATATATATATATAAATATATATATATATAAATATGTATATATATATATATATATATATATATATATATATATATATATATATATATATATATATATATATATATATATATATATATACAAACACACTTACTTAAGCGTATTTTTATAAGCATTTGCTCTTTTTTTTTGCTTACCTTAACCCATACGGCTTTTTTAGAAAAAGAAGAAAAAAAACGAAGAATGATGAATGAAACGATTGCTGCCCCATCCCAAACCCTCAGTCGATGTAGCAGCACTTCACTGTGAGTCAGGCTATTTGTCAGTCGATGTATGTACTGAAGCCCCCAGCAGCAGGCTATTTCAGTATGACGTCAGATTGCTTACCCTAGTACGCAATACTATTTGTATATATATATATATATATATATATATATATATATATATATATATATATATATATATATATATATATAATGTATTAATATATATTTTATTATATATATATTTTTTCTTATTTCAAGAACTTACATTCTTAAAATTATGTATTTTTTTCTTGTTTCAAGAATTTATATTCTTTAAAAAAAACATTTTTTACTTGTTTCAATGTTATTTTTATTTAAAATATGATTCTATTTTTTTGTTTCAATAATAATTCCCCTGAACTATAAAACAATATTACAAAAGTACTTTTCTATGGAAAAAATAAAATATTTTAAAATAAGGATGATATATAATAAGAATATTCAAAAAGCATTTATACATTTAAACAACAAATCTAACAGTTGAAATAACAAATTGTTCTTTGGAATGTTTTATTATTGTTCATGCTTGTACCAGCAATACTCCTCCCATGTCCATGACAAGTGTATTCCAATAAGTTCCATCACAAAGTCAGAAAATGAAAAACTTTATAAAATAACCTTTATAAATAATATATATATTTAAGTGTTTTCAAAAAATCATACAAACTTAAAGCTTTTTCTAAAACAATGTCTAGTTTTAGTCTTTTGAAAGTAATTGTAGCAAGTACTTTATTAAGTGTTTAACTTAAGTATCTAAAAACACATTCCTTGTTTAATTATTAATTGATTTCAATACATTATTGTACTTAACTCTAACCATAACTAAGCAAAAACATAAAAATGCCTGAGGTTGGCGATTTTTTGCTGACCTTGTTTTTATCTTTTATAGTAAAACCTTTGTAAAAATGGCTTTATGTTTGCCGATTGTAATCTGATGCCAACTTAAAACAGTTTAAGGTCAACAATTTATTAATCACATTAGTTTTACTAATTTTGAGGGTTGTGTATGCATGCATACTTACCTGTATTTAGGTAGCAATGGACCAGGAACTACCAACATGTGTATTCCATAATGCTAAAGTGTATCAATGTCTTCATTCTTGCTGAGTCAACTGTGACAGAAGACTTTAATACATGAGCTATGTTGCAATCAATCTGAATTAAATAATAATAATAAAAAAAGCATACAACTTTAAAAAGCAGAGAAAACTTATAGAATAACCCATTAGAAGACATGGCAGTTTTGAAAATACCTTCTCACTTAATAAAGGATTTGTGATTTTAAAATACTATTACATTTTATCCAATAAATTTATAAAATCACAAATGAAAAAAAAAAATCTTACTAATAGCACGTTAGGGAAACATTGATATTTTTCTAAAAATGCTGTAACTCTATCAACTCTCTCAACTTGAAATTTATTTACCCAGGTTAATTAAAATTCTATACTTAGATCAATTAAAATACACCAAAACTTTGTTCTGGTGCATTTTAATTGATCCTTAAATCAATTAAAATTAGGATAAAAAATGTAAAAAATAAAGTTAATTAGTAATACTAAATTTACTAATTGAAAAGTATTGTTTTCTTTACTTACTTTGCTTTGCATGCATTTGGAAACTTGCAATTGCTTAAAAGAAAACACACACATATATGTCATATATGTGTATGTATGCAACATGCACATGGATATTTAGAAATAGTACTAATACTAATCTTAAGTAAAAACCAATTGTATAATAATAGCAATAACAATATTAAAACAATTATAACGAGGTAACTAATGTTAACAATTATATTTATATTAATATAATAATAACAATAATAATAGTAATAATAATATTGATAAATATTACATTTAATATTAAACAATAACAATAATAGTGATATGAATAGAAGTAAAATAATGTTGATATTTATATTACATATAATTATACCAAAAGCAATAATAATAACCCACAATGAGTCCAACATTTTATGAACAGTAATTAAAATAAAAAAAATAAAAATGAGTTTTAGCAGTAAAGTTTAGTGATATAAAGTTAATATAAAAAATAAACTATTCTATGAATAAAAAATGAAAAAATTGGGTGCTAGGTTTAAATACTACAAACAACTTTTGGTCCAAATACTCCATTCATTACGAATTTATTAAATAAGTTGCAGCATTAATTTTTACAAAACCAAAATTAAAAAATTGTAATCGAATGTGCATAATTATAGGTTTTTGGCCCTAATGACAGCTTGGGGGGGGGGTAGGCAGGAGGGGTAGGCAGAAGGGGCAGACTCTTTAGCCACACAAAAACTCCTTGATCCGTCATTCGGCAATTTATTCATTTTTTTAAAATTCATTTGTTATAAAGAAGTGCACAACTTTGGAGCACTTCAAACCAAATCGCTCTTATGCATGCTTGCACCTTACACTTATGCCCACTTATTGCCTATACAAAAAATGCACATTTATGCTATTTAGATTTATGCAGATTCGCAGATATGAATATTGCATTTATTAAAGGCAAATTCTATAAAATTTTTGTAGTATACGACTATTTCTGGTTTGTATTTTAGTCTTAATGGCGATCAAATGGATTAGACTATTTGATTACAGAAAATCATGAATACAAGGTCCATTAGAGGGTGGGGAGGACTTTCAGAAGGGGAAATTCAGTGGCTTTAATTTTTCTGAATTCTTTAAATTTTTTTAGGTATACTTGCAGGTATCTTGATATATATATATATATATATATATATATATATATATATATATATATATATATATATATATATATATATATATATATATATATATATATATATATATATAAACATCGTTTGTATATAATATGTATATGTATATAAATATATATAAGAGTGCAGGTGGTTTCTTCTATAATCAAGTATGATCTTAAAACAAATAAATTCAAGCAGTTGATTTTATTTGACAACCTTAGGAAAATATCTGATGATAAAAGTTAGTCATCCTGGTAACAAAGGAGACAGGGAAGAAAATCTAATAAACTACTTTAAACAAGCAACTTTAAGTCTTGATCTTTCAAACAGGATATAGAAAACTATTCTTAATATGACTACTGCAAAGAGAGTTATACAATCAGGAGTGGCAAAGTTACTTTCAAAACCTGAATTAACTGTAAGGACTTAATACAATGTTCAGTCCATTAAATTTAAATTTGTTAATAAAAAAGTTGACAGAAATCTGATCATAGTAAATAACTCTTGTGATTTTGTTATAAACATTAAAAGTACGAGAACATGGAATCTTTATACTAATATAGTACAAGTATCAATTGATGGAGGAAGAAAGTCTATTGAAAATGTGTTAATATCATTGACCAGATCAAGTTATCAGTATTAATAAGTAGATCAGAAGTAAACATAGTCTGGTATTCAATGTATACAGTTAATTTTTATTGCTGAAGATGTTTTTGAAAATGTAACATATCAGAGTATAAAATATGTTTTAGATATTCTCCAGCTAGATTCATAGGATTTTAAAATCGCATGGAATTTAAAGTTGGTTTAAACATGATTATGGATTTATCTCACCATTATGGCATCCATGCATTTTTATAGTGTGAAAGTTAAAAGACGTGTTAAAAGTGTAAATACAAGAACTTTAAGAACATTTTGAAGCCTTAGTCTCTATTATTTTGAGTTTCAAGTTAAAAAAGGGTGCAAAAAAACAGTCTAGTTGCTTAAAAATGTTATTCAAAAATTGCTTGTTCATTGTGATGAAGATCCCACAAGTTAGAATGATAAACAAAATTCCCTCATCATCATTACATATATTTATGTGTTTCTTTTCTTTCAATCTCAGTGATCTTTTTACTCTTAGGTCAAACTTTAATCAGATTTGCAGAACAAACTGTAAAAGCCTCTATCCAATTTAAACCAACTTGGCCAAGATATAAAAGAGGTGTAAATCCCAACCATACAGACAATAAGAAAACTTAAGTCACAGATCATGGAGAAAACTTGCATTATGCAGTTTCAGACTGCTCATGAAGACAAAGATAACTGTATCTCAAATACACTACTATTTAACTTTGTCAATATTATGCAGTAATTTAGTTTAAGATCTGCATTATAGCTTTATAGAAATTATCATAAAGCTTGTCTTCTGCCCAAAAATCATTGAAAGGCCAACAACATAGATTTGGATGCGCCTCTAATGATAACTTATAAAGATTTACTAAGTCAATATTTAAAAAAAAGGATAAAGTATTAAATATTTTCTAGCAGGAAAAAGTCAAGGTATTCTAAAAATAAAGTCTCCCTCCTGCACTAAAAATGCATCCAAGGATTTTAAAAAGGTCTAATTTTAAATTACAAGATAAATATCTAAATAATGACATTTTATTTTTTATTCGGATAAAGTACAACTTGTGGATTAAGATTGCTTTGATAAAATTGGAAATGAAAATTTCGTAAGGATCACAATCATTTGGATTTGTTTTGATTCTAGAAAAA